AGGTCTGATGGCGTAGTGGGTTAAAGCATACTAGTTATGCCAGCTACTGGAAGGTAGTTGTGCTTTCTGGGTTCGAGTCCCACTGGTGGGTGTTGTCCAAAGATTGTTTATCTTCACTTGTGGTTTATGCAAGTATAGGCTTATAAGCTGGACACGAGTTCTCTCACATTGACAGTGGCTTGACGAAAATTGCAGACTGACCCCTCACTCATCTGGTGCCTTCGGGAGGTAGAGATGTTTGAGATATATATATCTCGAACTATCTACTTCTTTTGTAAGGTCTGATGGCGTAGTGGGTTAAAGCATACTAGTTATGCCAGCTACTGGAAGGTAGTTGTGCTTTCTGGGTTCGAGTCCCACTGGTGGGTGTTGTCCAAAGATTGTTTATCTTCACTTGTGGTTTATGCAAGTATAGGCTTATAAGCTGGACACGAGTTCTCTCACATTGACAGTGGCTTGACGAAAATTGCAGACTGACCCCTCACTCATCTGGTGCCTTCGGGAGGTAGAGATGTTTGAGATATATATATCTCGAACTATCTACTTCTTTTGTAAGGTCTGATGGCGTAGTGGGTTAAAGCATACTAGTTATGCCAGCTACTGGAAGGTAGTTGTGCTTTCTGGGTTCGAGTCCCACTGGTGGGTGTTGTCCAAAGATTGTTTATCTTCACTTGTGGTTTATGCAAGTATAGGCTTATAAGCTGGACACGAGTTCTCTCACATTGACAGTGGCTTGACGAAAATTGCAGACTGACCCCTCACTCATCTGGTGCCTTCGGGAGGTAGAGATGTTTGAGATATATATATCTCGAACTATCTACTTCTTTTGTAAGGTCTGATGGCGTAGTGGGTTAAAGCATACTAGTTATGCCAGCTACTGGAAGGTAGTTGTGCTTTCTGGGTTCGAGTCCCACTGGTGGGTGTTGTCCAAAGATTGTTTATCTTCACTTGTGGTTTATGCAAGTATAGGCTTATAAGCTGGACACGAGTTCTCTCACATTGACAGTGGCTTGACGAAAATTGCAGACTGACCCCTCACTCATCTGGTGCCTTCGGGAGGTAGAGATGTTTGAGATATATATATCTCGAACTATCTACTTCTTTTGTAAGGTCTGATGGCGTAGTGGGTTAAAGCATACTAGTTATGCCAGCTACTGGAAGGTAGTTGTGCTTTCTGGGTTCGAGTCCCACTGGTGGGTGTTGTCCAAAGATTGTTTATCTTCACTTGTGGTTTATGCAAGTATAGGCTTATAAGCTGGACACGAGTTCTCTCACATTGACAGTGGCTTGACGAAAATTGCAGACTGACCCCTCACTCATCTGGTGCCTTCGGGAGGTAGAGATGTTTGAGATATATATATCTCGAACTATCTACTTCTTTTGTAAGGTCTGATGGCGTAGTGGGTTAAAGCATACTAGTTATGCCAGCTACTGGAAGGTAGTTGTGCTTTCTGGGTTCGAGTCCCACTGGTGGGTGTTGTCCAAAGATTGTTTATCTTCACTTGTGGTTTATGCAAGTATAGGCTTATAAGCTGGACACGAGTTCTCTCACATTGACAGTGGCTTGACGAAAATTGCAGACTGACCCCTCACTCATCTGGTGCCTTCGGGAGGTAGAGATGTTTGAGATATATATATCTCGAACTATCTACTTCTTTTGTAAGGTCTGATGGCGTAGTGGGTTAAAGCATACTAGTTATGCCAGCTACTGGAAGGTAGTTGTGCTTTCTGGGTTCGAGTCCCACTGGTGGGTGTTGTCCAAAGATTGTTTATCTTCACTTGTGGTTTATGCAAGTATAGGCTTATAAGCTGGACACGAGTTCTCTCACATTGACAGTGGCTTGACGAAAATTGCAGACTGACCCCTCACTCATCTGGTGCCTTCGGGAGGTAGAGATGTTTGAGATATATATATCTCGAACTATCTACTTCTTTTGTAAGGTCTGATGGCGTAGTGGGTTAAAGCATACTAGTTATGCCAGCTACTGGAAGGTAGTTGTGCTTTCTGGGTTCGAGTCCCACTGGTGGGTGTTGTCCAAAGATTGTTTATCTTCACTTGTGGTTTATGCAAGTATAGGCTTATAAGCTGGACACGAGTTCTCTCACATTGACAGTGGCTTGACGAAAATTGCAGACTGACCCCTCACTCATCTGGTGCCTTCGGGAGGTAGAGATGTTTGAGATATATATATCTCGAACTATCTACTTCTTTTGTAAGGTCTGATGGCGTAGTGGGTTAAAGCATACTAGTTATGCCAGCTACTGGAAGGTAGTTGTGCTTTCTGGGTTCGAGTCCCACTGGTGGGTGTTGTCCAAAGATTGTTTATCTTCACTTGTGGTTTATGCAAGTATAGGCTTATAAGCTGGACACGAGTTCTCTCACATTGACAGTGGCTTGACGAAAATTGCAGACTGACCCCTCACTCATCTGGTGCCTTCGGGAGGTAGAGATGTTTGAGATATATATATCTCGAACTATCTACTTCTTTTGTAAGGTCTGATGGCGTAGTGGGTTAAAGCATACTAGTTATGCCAGCTACTGGAAGGTAGTTGTGCTTTCTGGGTTCGAGTCCCACTGGTGGGTGTTGTCCAAAGATTGTTTATCTTCACTTGTGGTTTATGCAAGTATAGGCTTATAAGCTGGACACGAGTTCTCTCACATTGACAGTGGCTTGACGAAAATTGCAGACTGACCCCTCACTCATCTGGTGCCTTCGGGAGGTAGAGATGTTTGAGATATATATATCTCGAACTATCTACTTCTTTTGTAAGGTCTGATGGCGTAGTGGGTTAAAGCATACTAGTTATGCCAGCTACTGGAAGGTAGTTGTGCTTTCTGGGTTCGAGTCCCACTGGTGGGTGTTGTCCAAAGATTGTTTATCTTCACTTGTGGTTTATGCAAGTATAGGCTTATAAGCTGGACACGAGTTCTCTCACATTGACAGTGGCTTGACGAAAATTGCAGACTGACCCCTCACTCATCTGGTGCCTTCGGGAGGTAGAGATGTTTGAGATATATATATCTCGAACTATCTACTTCTTTTGTAAGGTCTGATGGCGTAGTGGGTTAAAGCATACTAGTTATGCCAGCTACTGGAAGGTAGTTGTGCTTTCTGGGTTCGAGTCCCACTGGTGGGTGTTGTCCAAAGATTGTTTATCTTCACTTGTGGTTTATGCAAGTATAGGCTTATAAGCTGGACACGAGTTCTCTCACATTGACAGTGGCTTGACGAAAATTGCAGACTGACCCCTCACTCATCTGGTGCCTTCGGGAGGTAGAGATGTTTGAGATATATATATCTCGAACTATCTACTTCTTTTGTAAGGTCTGATGGCGTAGTGGGTTAAAGCATACTAGTTATGCCAGCTACTGGAAGGTAGTTGTGCTTTCTGGGTTCGAGTCCCACTGGTGGGTGTTGTCCAAAGATTGTTTATCTTCACTTGTGGTTTATGCAAGTATAGGCTTATAAGCTGGACACGAGTTCTCTCACATTGACAGTGGCTTGACGAAAATTGCAGACTGACCCCTCACTCATCTGGTGCCTTCGGGAGGTAGAGATGTTTGAGATATATATATCTCGAACTATCTACTTCTTTTGTAAGGTCTGATGGCGTAGTGGGTTAAAGCATACTAGTTATGCCAGCTACTGGAAGGTAGTTGTGCTTTCTGGGTTCGAGTCCCACTGGTGGGTGTTGTCCAAAGATTGTTTATCTTCACTTGTGGTTTATGCAAGTATAGGCTTATAAGCTGGACACGAGTTCTCTCACATTGACAGTGGCTTGACGAAAATTGCAGACTGACCCCTCACTCATCTGGTGCCTTCGGGAGGTAGAGATGTTTGAGATATATATATCTCGAACTATCTACTTCTTTTGTAAGGTCTGATGGCGTAGTGGGTTAAAGCATACTAGTTATGCCAGCTACTGGAAGGTAGTTGTGCTTTCTGGGTTCGAGTCCCACTGGTGGGTGTTGTCCAAAGATTGTTTATCTTCACTTGTAATGGACTTTTTGCATAAAAATATATCACACTTATACTTGTTTTGGGTGAGCTGACAGAGCATATGCCAGAACACGAAACAATGGGTATAAATTGGGTATGAAAACATAAGAATGGAAGTAACTGCAGAAGGTCTATTGGCCCATACTTCCTATTGCTGCTTCTATGTTGGTTCGGGATCTTGAAGTGGGTAGAATTCAGTTGTGCATTAATTGGCTGTTGATTGTTGGTGTTGACTTTTTGATGTGTAGTGCCTCGCTGATGTCGAGTCTCCTGCTATCGCTGTATTTGTCGATGATTTCTGTGTTGCTTGTTAAGATTTCTCTGGTGATGGTCTGGTTGTGAGAAGAGATTTAATGTTCCTTGATGGAGCCCTGTTGTTTGTGCATAGTTAATTGCCAAGAAAGAGACGTTGTTGTCTTGCCTATATACTGCCTACATTTACATTTTTATATGTAAACTATGTCTTTGAAAATGTAATAAGCATTACGAAACGCGTTCAGGCGTCAGACCAGAAATTAAGAATGAATTTTGGAGAGTTAATTTATCAATTACCCTGGAATTTATAATGTGAATAGTTCCGTAATTTGAATATTTATGGTAGGTTGTTCAATTTATATATGGATTGCTTAAGCAATCCACATAAAATTGTAATAAGCAATCCACATAAAAATAGAACAACCTACCACAAATACTCAAATTACGGAACTATTCACTCTACCCACCATGAGAATAAGAACAAGACTAGAACTTGAAGAGGCCAACATACAAGACACTGCTCGACAAACAGCACCCACTATACTCTTTACCCTTATGTTTACCTATTGTTTACACCTGACCCCATCGTTCGATCCATTTGTATTCACCTGACCCACTGTTAGTATAAATATAATGTCCTGTACTGTAACATCACTTGAGAATGAACCAAAGATTTTTTCACAAAATCTTTGCCGCTTATAGAGTCTACGTTATGCAAGTTTTATCACATAAATTCTGACTGACCTTTTCGAAGCTGCTGCTGATCGGAGTAGTTGATGCCGATGTCGAGGGCAGCACCAGCGAGGAGAAGACCCCCGAGGACGGTCAGCACAACACTGCAGGAGCAGCAGCGGCCATATAGGAATATATATACTGAGAGCATAACACAACGTGTTGCAAATCTACTTATCATTGCATCAGTATAATTTGATTCATATGTAATTCATCCCTTCAGGACAGAGTGTAGTGGATCCAGTGACCAGTCTCTCAGTGTGCTGCCCCCCCTACACACAACACACAACACTCATACTCAACACAGGACTGAGAGCTGCACCACTATACTCAACACAGGACAGCTGCACCACTACACACAACACTCATACTCAACACAGGACTGAGAGTCAACACAGGACTGAGAGCTACACCACTACACACAACACTCATACTCAACACAGGACTGAGAGCTGCACCACTACACACAACACTCATACTCAACACAGGACTGAGAGCTGCACCACTACACACAACACTCATACTCAACACAGGACTGAGAGCTGCACCACTATACTCAACACAGGACTGAGAGCTACACCACTACACACAACACTCATACTCAACACAGGACTGAGAGCTGCACCACTACACACAACACTCATACTCAACACAGGACTGAGAGCTGCACCACTACACACAACACTCATACTCAACACAGGACTGAGAGCTGCACCACTACACACACACTCATACACAACACTCATACTCAACACAGGACTGAGAGCTGCACCACTACACACAACACTCATACTCAACACAGGACTGAGAGCTGCACCACTACACACATCACTCATACTCAACACAGGACTGAGAGCTACACCACTACACACAACACAGGACTGAGAGCTGCACCACTACACACAACACTCATACTCAACACAGGACTGAGAGCTGCACCACTACACACAACACAGGACTGAGAGCTGCACCACTACACACAACACAGGACTGAGAGCTGCACCACTACACTCAACACAGGACTGAGAGCTGCACCACTACACACAACTCATACTCAACACAGGACTGAGAGCTGCCCCCCTACACACAACACTCATACTCAACACAGGACTGAGAGCTGCACCACTACACACAACACTCATACTCAACACAGGACTGAGAGCTGCACCACTACACACAACACTCATACTCAACACAGGACTGAGAGCTGCACCACTACACACAACACTCATACTCAACACAGGACTGAGAGCTGCACCACTACACACAACACTCATACTCAACACAGGACTGAGAGCTACACCACTACACACAACACTCATACTCAACACAGGACTGAGAGCTACACCACTATACTCAACACAGGACTGAGAGCTGCACCACTACACACAACACTCATACTCAACACAGGACTGAGAGCTACACCACTATACACACCACAGGACTGAGAGCTACACCACTACACACAACACTCATACTCAACACAGGACTGAGAGCTACACCACTACACACAACACTCATACTCAACACAGGACTGAGAGCTGCACCACTACACTCAACACAGGACTGAGAGCTGCACCACTACACACAACACTCATACTCAACACAGGACTGAGAGCTACACCACTACTCAACACAGGACTGAGAGCTGCACCACTACACACCACTACACTCAACACAGGACTGAGAGCTACACCACTACACTCAACACAGGACTGAGAGCTGCACCACTACACACAACACTCATACTCAACACAGGACTGAGAGCTACACCACTACACACAACACTCATACTGAGAGCACAGGACTGACACACAACACTCATACTCAACACAGGACTGAGAGCTACACCACTACACACAACACTCATACTCAACACAGGACTGAGAGCTACACCACTATACTCAACACAGGACTGAGAGCTACACCACTATACACAACACAGGACTGAGAGCTACACACAACACTCATACTCAACACAGGACTGAGAGCTGCACCACTATACACAACACTCATACTCAACACAGGACTGAGAGCTGCACCACTACACACAACACAGGACTGAGAGCTACACACAACACTCATACTCAACACAGGACTGAGAGCTGCACCACTATACACAACACTCATACTCAACACAGGACTGAGAGCTACACCACTACACACAACACTCATACTCAACACAGGACTGAGAGCTACACCACTACACACAACACTCATACTCAACACAGGACTGAGAGCTACACCACTACACACAACACTCATACTCAACACAGGACTGAGAGATGTAACACAAAATAACACAGAGTAACACATTTTCTGCTCCTGAGTAGTAACTGTTATGTTCTGCTTGGGAATGCCTTCACAGTATTCCTGAGTATTTCATATTGCTGTTCACCTCAAGCTGTGCTCTGACTTTTGCCTCAGACGGCTTAGGGAAGACGTCTTGAAGATAGGTGAAGGCTGTCGACGCCTTTTCTAAAGCTGTGGCACATTGTACCAGGCGTCGGCAGCCTTCAGGTACCTTCAAGACATCTCCCTTCAACTGTCTGAGTCTAAGGTCAGTACTAAGATTGAGGGGAATTACATCAATTTTCTCTACTTTGAAGGCACAATCAGTCACAAAATAACACTTAGTACCCAAGAAAACCAATAATGTGACACCGCCATTAAGCAGGTTGGCTCACATGACAACAATGTCGGCAGCTTCCAGGGTCTTGGTGTCATTCCTGGTCTGACAGTCAACAGCGGAGGTCTGCTTCCCGAGAGCGCTCATCCTGGCGTCCAAACTCACCTGCCAACACCAACACTATTAATACATTAAGCAACTATATATTACCATATATATATATATATATGTGGTAATATGTACAGTGCCAGTACATATATATATGTACTGGCACTGAGAAGCTGACGAAGGGCACCTTAGTGTCTCCTGCACTGGGATAGATTTACCACCACTTTCTTGGTTGTCCCAAGTCTTCCTTACAATGGCTATTGTGATTTTACCTCGACCTTTATACTCTCACTATGACCTTTATACTCTCACTATGACCTTTACACTCTCACCATGACCTTTATATTCTCACCATGACCTTTATACTCTCACTATGACCTTTATACTCTCACTATGACCTTTATACTCTCACTATGACCTTTATACTCTCACCATGACCTTTACACTCTCACCATGACCTTTATACTCTCACTATGACCTTTATACTCACACTATGACCTTTATACTCTCACCATGACCTTTACACTCTCACCATGACCTTTATACTCTCACCATGACCTTTATACTCTCACTATGACCTTTATACTCTCACCATGACCTTTACACTCTCACCATGACCTTTATACTCTCACTATGACCTTTATACTCTCACTATGACCTTTACACTCTCACCATGACCTTTATACTCTCACCATGACCTTTACACTCTCACCATGACCTTTATACTCTCACCATGACCTTTATACTCTCACCATGAGCTTTATACTCTCACTATGACCTTTACACTCTCACTATGACCTTTATACTCTCACCATGACCTTTATACTCTCACCATGACCTTGACACTCTCACCATGACCTTGACACTCTCACCATGACCTTCACACTCTCACCATGACCTTCACACTCTCACCATGACCTTTATACTCTCACCGTGAGCTTCAGGAGGAGGGAGACATTCACCCTGAGGTCGTCAGCAGCACAGGAGGAGGGAGACACTCACCCTGAGGTCGTCAGCAGCACAGGAGGAGGGAGACACTCACCCTGAGGTCGTCAGCAGCACAGGAGGAGGGAGACACTCACCCTGAGGTCGTCAGCAGCACAGGAGGAGGGAGACACTCACCCTGAGGTCGTCAGCAGCACAGGAGGAGGGAGACACTCACCCTGAGGTCGTCAGCAGCACAGGAGGAGGGAGACACCCTGAGGTCGTCAGCAGCACAGGAGGAGGGAGACACTCACCCTGAGGTCGTCAGCAGCACAGGAGGAGGGAGACACTCACCCTGAGGTCGTCAGCAGCACAGGAGGAGGGAGACACTCACCCTGAGGTCGTCAGCAGCACAGGAGGAGGGAGACACTCACCCTGAGGTCGTCAGCAGCACAGGAGGAGGGAGACACTCACCCTGAGGTCGTCAGCAGCACAGGAGGAGGGAGACACTCACCCTGAGGTCGTCAGCAGCACAGGAGGAGGGAGACACTCACCCTGAGGTCGTCAGCAGCACAGGAGGAGGGAGACACTCACCCTGAGGTCGTCAGCAGCACAGGAGGAGGGCATACAGGTGCCGTAGAAGTAGAGAGGGATGGCGGGCATGAAGGCTCCAATACGAGGCTGCGGGCCCGGCTGCTCCTCCACATCTGTGCTCTTCCTGAAGACAGCCAAGTGGTTATAGTGGTTGTGGGCGTGGGGTGTAGGTGTGGAGTGTGGGCGTGGAATGTGGGCGTGGAGTGTAGGTGTGGGCGTGGGGTGTGGGCGTGGAGTGTAGGTGTTGGAGTGTGGGCGTGGAGTGTAGGCGTGGAGTGTGGGCGTGAAGTGTGGGCGTGCGGTGTGGGGGTGGAGTGTGGGCGTGGGGTGTGGGCGTGGAGTGTGGGCGTGGGGTGTGCTCGTGTGGTGTGGGCGTGGAGTGTGGGCGTGGGGTGTGGGCGTGGGGTGTGGGCATGGGGTGTGCTAGTGTGGTGTGGGCGTGGAGTGTGGGCATGGGGTGTGGGCGTGGGGTGTGCTCGTGTGGTGTGGGCGTGGAGTGTGGGCGTGGGGTGTGGGCGTGGGGTGTAGGCGTGGGGTGTAGGCGTGGGGTGTGGTCATGGGGTGTGCTCGTGTGGTGTGGGCGTGGAGTGAGGGCGTGGGGTGTGGGGGTGAAGTGTGGGCGTGGAATGTGGGCGTGGGGTGTGGGCGTGCGGTGTGGGCGTGGGGTGTGGGCGTGGGGTGTGCTCTTGTGGTGTGAGCGTGGAGTGTGGGGGTGGAGTGTGGGAGTGGAGTGTGGGAGTGGAGTGTGGGAGTGGAATGTGGGCGTGGAGTGTAGGTGTGGGTGTGGGCGTGGAGTGTGGGCGTGGAGTGTAGGCGCGGAGTGTAGGTGTTGGAGTGTGGGCGTGGAGTGTAGGTGTTGGGGTGTGGGCGTGGAGTGTAGGTGTTGGGGTGAGGGCGTGGAGTGTAGGCGTGGAGTGTAGGTGTTGGAGTGTGGGCGTGGAGTGTAGGTGTTGGGGTGTGGGCGTGGAGTGTAGGCGTGGAGTGTAGGTGTTGGAGTGTGGGCGTGGGGTGTGGGCGTGGAGTGTGGGCGTGGAGTGTGGGCGTGGAGTGTAGGTGTGGAGTGTGGACGTGGAGTGTGGGCGTGGGGTGTAGGTGTGGAGTGTGGGCGTGGAGTGTGGGCGTGGAGTGTAGGCGTGGAGTGTGGGCGTGGAGTGTAGGTGTGGAGTGTGGACGTGGAGTGTAGGTGTTGGGGTGTGGGCGTGGAGTGTGGGCGTGGGGTGTGGGCGTGGAGTGTAGGCGTAGGGTGTGGGCATGGAGTGTGGGCGTGGGGTGTGGGCGTGGAGTGTAGGCGCCGGACTGGAGAATATTGTGACAGAAGACATGTCCTCTAAAAATAGAATTAGATAACACCAGCCGCTCCTCCTGAAATGACAATACTAATAGCAATTATTTGGTGGAAAGTTATAATATGTAGTGAAGGACCACCAGAAAGTTATAATATGTAGTGAAGGACCACCAGAAAGTTACAATATGTAGTAAAGGACCACCAGAAAGTTACAATATGTAGTAAAGGACCACCAGAAAGTTACAATATGTAGTGAAGGACCACCAGAAAGTACCAATATGTAGTGAAGGACCACCAGAAAGTTACAATATGTAGTGAAGGACCACCAGAAAGTTACAATATGTAGTGAAGGACCACCAGAAAGTTACAATATGTAGTGAAGGACCACCAGAAATTTTCCTTTTTGTACTGTTTATTTTATAGAGTCTAGAAAAAATAAAGGTTAATATCAAACGTAAATATTCCCAGGCCTAATAGCACATATATACTATATTAGGCCTAGGATAGCGTGAATTAGGCCTAGTATTGCTAGCAGAGGTTATTAATGTGTTTATGATGCAATTAAAAAAAGTTTCCCCATATGTCCAAATTCATTAATACAAAAGTCAACTCTCTGGCGGTCCGTCACTTTCAGTATTTTGGTTCTTTCGACCAAGTGGTTCCTGTAAGTACTTCCGTGTTAGGAGGATGGTAGAGTGTGTACTCCCCTTCCCGGGCCTCACAGCCTCGCCTTCTCACCTGAAGGAGACGGCGCAGTACTTCCCGTCGAAGGTGGTGTTGAGGTCGAAGGGCTTGAGAGGAAAGTCGATGAGCTCATGCACGTGCAACATCGTGCACTCCTCCATCATCCCCCACGGCTGGAAGTTCCCCGTCAACAACCCGTCCGGCACCTTGCCCCACGAGTCTGGCACTGCACAGCAACGTTCCAACAACGGTTGAAGCATTATACACACACATGAGCACATGCAACAGCATATCTTTTTTACCTAGTCTAGTCTACTTGTTGGCCATAATCCCTATGGCCTCCTCGGGGACAGAAAGCCTTGGGATAGTGTTGGGTGTAACGATCTACCGGGTGGGTATTAGGCTGAACTCCAGCAACCTATGTTGCGCTTCATGCATTTAAGTCAAGACGTCCACCGGTGTAGGTGAAATGCTCCTGGGTAGAAAGTTCACCTCGTCGAGAGAAGAGGAAGCTGCCAGTTGGGCCCAACATTCTTTCCTCTCTATTTTCCCATGCATTATCGTACCTCAAGAAATACGGCTGCGATTGTTGTCAGGGATATCATTATATTGCCACGTGTGATTTCTAAAGGGTGCAGGAGGAAGTCTTCATATGAGTCTAATTGGGCAGTTTTCTATGAGTCTAATTGAATTGAATTGACAGTTTCTGTTCAACAAATCTTTCTAAAATGATTGTAGTCTATTCGGTCGAACGTAGCAATATGTAGTGATGGACTACCATGTAGTCGACCTATTGCATTACTCGATTTGAACCCATTGGATTTTTTGGGGTTAACAGCAACAAATATATACAACCTAATCTAACCAATCCTAGGAATCATAGGCTTAATACATGATATCTTAGGCCTAATATTGTACATAAATGTGCTATACTAAGCCTAGGAATGTTTAAGCTTGATTTTTTACCTTTATTTTTTCCAAACTGTAAAATTTATAGTACAGAAATGAATTTTTCGTTTTCCATAACTACATATTGGTACTTTTGATATATAGTTACTATAAGTACTGTCATATCAAGAGGATGGGGGTATATATATGTCGTACCTAGTAGCCAGAACTCACTTCTCAGCTTACTATGCAAGGCCCGATTTGCCTATTAAGCCAAGTTTTCCTGAATTAATATATTTTCTCTATTTTTTTTCTTATGAAATGATAAAGCTACCCATTTCATTATGTATGAGGTCAATTTTTTTTTATTGGAGATAAAATTAAAGTAGATATATGACCGAACCTAACCAACCCTACCTAACCTAACCTAACCTAACCTATCTTTATAGGTTAGGTTAGGTTAGGTAGCCGAAAAAGTTAGGTTAGGTTAGGTAGGTTAGGTCGTCGAAAAACAATTAATTCATGAAAACTTGGCTTATTAGGCAAATCAGGCCTTGCATAGTAGGCTGAGAAGTGAGTTCTGGCTACTAGGTACGACATATATATATATATATATATATATATATATATATATATATATATATATATATATATATATATATATATATATATATATATATATATATATATATATATATATATATATATATATATTTTGATAGCAGTCTTTCTTGTAAACATATGTTGTTGAATATGACCGAAAAGGTAAGATTAATAATTATAACACGTATTTTCTCAATATTTCTTATGTTTCTCTTCACTGTCGATGGTAATTGAAAAATCAATTCTCAAATCAAAAATCAAATACGACAATATAGAGGACACGGCAAACCTCCACTCTTAAGTAAATCGAGTATTTCAATGGGCCTCAGATAATAATATGATGTTTATCAAAAAAAAGTTCCAGCTCCTGCACTATGGACAAAATTCAAATTTAAAAACGGAAACGATATATAAAACAGAATTAAATCACATTATAGAACGAAAAAGTAATGTAAAGATGTAAAGGGTCTAGGAGTAATCATGTCAGAAGACCTTACCTTTACAGAACACAATAAAGTAGCTGTCACAACTGCAAGAAAAATGACAGGTTGAATAACAAGACCTTCCAAACATGGGATGTCATACCAATGATGATACTTTTCAAGACACTAGTGCTCTCTAGGGTGGAATCTTATGCACTAACAGCCCCATTCAGAGTCGGAGAAGTTGCTGACCTGGAGAGCATGCAAAGATCCTTTATTGTTAGAATCCACTCAATACGTCATCTTAATTATTGGGACCTATTAAAAGTTCTAAATCTGTTTTCTCTAGAGCCCAGGCGTGAGAGATACATAATAATCTACACGTGGAAGATATTAGAGTGACTGGTTCCAAATCTGAACACAGAAATAACACCACATGAGACCAGAAGACATGGCAGAATACCCCCGTTGAAGAGCAGAGGTACAACAGGTATTCTGAGAGAGAACTCTATCAACATCAGAGGCCCGAGACTATTCAACACGCTTCCACTACACATAAGGGGCATAACTGGCCGACCCCTCACACAGAAAAGAGAACTCGACAAACTCCTCCAAAAAATACTTGATCAACCAGACTGTGATTCATACGACAAGGTGCGTGCAGCCGCGTCCAACAGCCTGGTTGACCAGACGACCCACCGGGAGGCCTGGTCGGAGACTGGGCCACGGGGCTGTTGATCACCGGAAACTACACAAAATAGACAGTAAGGTGTCAATGCCTGAGTATTGTTTGAGCCACATTGTGAATGTTATTACTTGAAAAGTCAAGTGAGTGGGTTATAGTTTTATTCTTGACGACCATGTGAACTCTGAGCATTGTGTTATCATCGAGGAGGTGGTTCACCCTCACATTGTGCTTGTTCCTCTTTTTGTTAACATCTGTAAGACTTGAAGAGCGAAGAAGAATGAATTCATATTTCATAAGACTTACTGTTCCTTACTGAGATAAGCATAACTCTAAAATGACAGTAGTTACAATATGACATTCATTTTGTAATAATTTTCCGCTCAACTACCCAGTGTGCTTGTGTTCTGATCTGTTATTCACTCACGTTTGTGATTTTGAGAGATAACTCACATTTTCCTAATACCTCATTATTTGTATTCAATTAAATAATTCTTAGCAAATAGCGGTGTGTTGAACTGTGGTGGCAGTACGGTGATCCCCGCAACACACTCTCATCATAACTGTGGTGGCAGTACGGTGATCCCCGCAACACACTCTCATCATAACTGTGGTGGCAGTACGGTGATCCCCGCAACACACTCTCATCATAACTGTGGTGGCAGTACGGTGATCCCCGCAACACACTCTCATCATAACTGTGGTGGCAGTACGGTGATCCCCGCAACACACTCTCATCATAACTGTGGTGGCAGTACGGTGATCCCCGCAACACACTCTCATCATAACTGTGGTGGCAGTACGGTGATCCCCGCAACACACTCTCATCATAACTGTCGTGGCAGTACGGTGATCCCCGCAACACACTCTCATCATAACTGTGGTGGCAGTACGGTGATCCCCGCAACACACTCTCATCATAACTGTGGTGGCAGTACGGTGATCCCCGCAACACACTCTCATCATAACTGTCGTGGCAGTACGGTGATCCCCGCAACACACTCTCATCATAACTGTGGTGGCAGTACGGTGATCCCCGCAACACACTCTCATCATAACTGTGGTGGCAGTACGGTGATCCCCGCAACACACTCTCATCATATTCAATATATTCGGCTATTTCATGAGCTGTTGATTCATTTTTGCGATTTTTCCCTTTGCAAAACCACTAAGTTACTGGATCTTGAGGTTATCTTGAGATGATTTCGGGTCTTTTTAGTGTCCCCGCGGCCCGGTCCTCGACCAGGCCTCCACTCCCAGGAAGCAGCCCGTGACAGCTGACTAACACCCAGGTACCTATTTTATTGATAGGTAACAGGGGCATAGGGTGAAAGAAACTCTGCCAATTGTTTCTCGCCGGCGCCTGGGATCGAACCCGGGACCACAGGATCACAAGTCCAGTGTGCTGTCCGCTCGGCCGACCGGCTCCCTGTACCTCAAATGTACACTGAAGTGTACATTTGTGACTCACACCGAGAATCATGTTACTGTCGAGCTAGACTCAAGACTCTTGACTCAAGACTCTTGACTCAAGACTCTAGACTCAAGACTCTTGACTCAAAACTCTTGACTCAAGAGTCTAGACTCAAGACTCTAGACTCTTGACGCGGAGATAGATATTTAAAATAATTCCCTTTATAGCCAGCAGTAAATGTAGGTTAGGATGAGCTTAGTTGAAGAGATTATGGCACCAGGATCAGCTCCCAGACTGTATGTCCCACAAATGTTGGCGGTACACTGTTTACTGTATCTTAAAGTGCTTACTGCAGTACACCAATATTAGTAGTGACCGCGGTCACCACAACTCTCACCATGATGACCACAATAGTGAGCCAACACCACAACTCTCACCATGATGACCACAATAGTGAGCCAACACCACAACTCTCACCATGATGACCACAATAGTGACCCAACAACACAACTCTCACCATGATGACCACAATAGTGACCTCGGTCACCACAACTCCCACCATGATGACCACAATAGTGACCCAACAACACAACTGCCCCAACAACTGGTCACAACTTACAGATGACGGGCCAGAGGTGACCCTTGAGGAGGACCTCGGCGTACACCAGCGGGTTCCTGATAGCCTTAATGACCGCCTTGACGTCGTTACGACACGCCTCGTTCTTCACCACCTCGGGGTCCGTGGAGGGCAGGTACGCCCACGTCCACGCCTCCAACACCCTGACCCATAATAATAATAATAATAATAATAATAATAATAATAATAATAATAATAATATAATAATAATAATAATAATAATAATAATAATAATAATAATAATAATAATATACTCTATACAATACACTCAAAGCTTATCTGCAAAACATAAAATAGGTGACTTTTCTCTCTTGTAGTGGAAATAATAATTACTTGCGTCTGAAGAAGAATTTTGGTGGCGAGAAGACTTTGAAAGTCTAATGGGCTCCATTGACGAAAGTCTAAGGGGCTCCATTGACTAAAGTCTAATGGGCACCATTGACGAAAACAAAGCCAACGTGCCATGATTTGTTTTGCCGCTGTGAGGGGAGTCACTAGAGCAGCTGGAAGGGGTGAGGGGAGTCACTAGAGCAGCTGGAAGGGGTGAGGGGAGTCACTAGAGCAGCTGGAAGGGGTGAGGGGAGTCACTAGAGCAGCTGGAAGGGGTGAGGGGAGTCACTAGAGCAGCTGGAAGGGGTGAGGAGAGTCACTAGAGCAGCTGGAAGGGGGTGAGGGGAGTCATTAGAGCAGCTGGAAGGGGTGAGGGGAGTCACTAGAGCAGCTGGAAGGGGTGAGGGGGAGTCACTAGAGCAGCTGGAAGGGGTGAGGGGAGTCACTAGAGCAGCTGGAAGGGGTGAGGGGGAGTCACTAGAGCAGCTGGAAGGGGTGAGGGGAGTCACTAGAGCAGCTGGAAGGGGTGAGGGGGAGTCACTAGAGCAGCTGGAAGGGGTGAGGGGAGTCACTAGAGCAGCTGGAAGGGGTGAGGGGAGTCACTAGAGCAGCTGGAAGGGGTGAGAGGGAGTCACTAGAGCAGCTGGAAGGGGTGAGGGGAGTCACTAGAACAGCTGGAAGGGGTGAGGGGGTCACTAGAGCAGCTGGAAGGGGTGAGGGGGGTCACTAGAGCAGCTGGAAGGGGTGAGGGGAGTCACTAGAGAGCAGGAGGAGAATGGGACGGGTGTGAGGAAAGGCTCTCTGGTAGTCTGGAAAAGAGGGACTGAGCTTCATGATTACAAAAATAATTGCGATTGCACTTTTATTTTCAAATGAACGTTTTGAGTGCATGAACTAGAGACGTAAGCCTACAGAGTGCAGTGTCCAGAGTGCACAACAGAGCAGCCAGAACCTAACTGGAATTCAGTGACGCACAATGTGAGTTTTGTTATAGAATACCTCGAGTGGATCACATATTTGCGTTAAGAGATAGGTAACTGTTGTGGGATGCCTTCTTGGGAAGGTCAGTCATTGGCCTATGGGAACCTGGAGACAATTACCAGTCTTCCTGTCCCCGAATACTGGAAACAAAACAATGTAAGAAGTTGGAAGAATAATATTTCATTTTGTGGAGAGATTCCTGCACAACACAGAGCTTCTGTGAGTGGTTGTGCTCTGTGAGTGACTGGTATACACATATACCACGTTCCCTGCCCTTCACCACCTTCCCTTCCCTTTACCACCTTCCCTACCCTTCACTACCTTCCCTACCCTTCACCACCTTCCCTACCCTTCACAACCTTCCCTACCCTTCACCACCCTCCCTACCCTTCACCACCTTCCCCTATCCTTCACCACCTTCCTATACCCTTCACCACCTTCCCTACCCTTCACAACCTTCCCATACCCTTCACCACCTTCCCATACCCTTCACCACCTTCCCATACCCTTCACCACCTTCCCTACCCTTCACCACCTTCCCATACCCTTCACCACCTTCCCTACCCTTCACAACCTTCCCATACCCTTCACCACCTTCCCATACCCTTCACCACCTTCCCATACCCTTCACCACCTTCCCTACCCTTCACAACCTTCCCATACCCTTCACCACCTTCCCATACCCTTCACCACCTTCCCTACCCTCCACCACCTTCCCTACCCTTCACAACCTTCCCATACCCTTCACAACCTTCCCATACCCTTCACCACCTTCCCTACCCTTCACCACCTTCCCATACCCTTCACCACCTTCCCTACCCTTCACAACCTTCCCATACCCTTCACCACCTTCCCTACCCTTCACCACCTTCCCATACCCTTCACCACCTTCCCTACCCTTCACAACCTTCCCATACCCTTCACCACCTTCCCATACCCTTCACCACCTTCCCTACCCTCCACCACCTTCCCATACCCTTCACCACCTTCCCTACCCTCCACTACCTTCCCTACCCTTCACAACCTTCCCATACCCTTCACAACCTTCCCATACCCTTCACCACCTTCCCTACCCTTCACCACCTTCCCATACCCTTCACCACCTTCCCTACCCTTCACAACCTTCCCATACCCTTCACCACCTTCCCTACCCTTCACCACCTTCCCATACCCTTCACCACCTTCCCTACCCTTCACAACCTTCCCATACCTTTCACCACCTTCCCATACCCTTCACCACCTTCCCTACCCTCCACCACCTTCCCTACCCTTCACAACCTTCCCATACCCTTCACCACCTTCCCATATCCTTCACCACCTTCCCTACCCTTCACCACCTTCCCTACCCTTCACCACCTTCCCATACCCTTCACCACCTTCCCATACCCTTCACCACCTTCCCATACCCTTCACCACCTTCCCTACCCTTCACCACCTTCCCTACCCTTCACCACCTTCCCATACCCTTCACCACCTTCCCTACCCTTCACAACCTTCCCATACCCTTCACCACCTTCCCTACCCTTCACCACCTTCCCATACCCTTCACCACCTTCCCTACCCTCCACCAACTTCCCTACCCTTCACCACCTTCCCATACACTTCACAACCTTCCCTACCCTTCACCACCTTCCCATACACTTCACAACCTTCCCTACCCTTCACAACCTTCCCTACCCTTCACCACCTTCCCATACCCTTCACAACCTTCCCATACCCACAGAGCTTGTGTGAGCTGGCTGTTGGCTGCTCATCGGATGTCGTCGCTCCGGTAAATCTTTTTTCGCGAGGAAGATTTCCCGCCGCTGGCTGTGGAGGCGGACCCGGCGGGTGAGGTAGTGGACGAGTGGATGTCGCATCCTGTGTCAGACGGTGCGCCTGATATTGGTGGGTCTTGTGCTCCGGAGGTTGTGCTCTCCTCGGCTGGGTATGCTGTTCCTGTTGGCATCCCTGGTGCTGTTGTAGATCCCCAGGGTGCTCCCTCTCCGTCTCCACCGTTTTCAGCTTCTCCGTCATCTGCGCCTGACCCCTCTGCCGTCTCCTGTGGCTCCTGTGTCTCCGTCCCCGCTGCTTGTCCCGGCTGTACTGGGAGGTGGTGTGGGTGCGAGGCCTCCTACAGTGTTGGGGCCGGTCCCCCATGTCGTCGAGGCTGCTGACGTCTTATGTCGTGCAACAGTGCGCCCCCCTCCCTCCCCCCCTGCGTTATCCGTGCTTCAGGTTCCGCCTCCGGCTATGACGACGTGCAGCCGGATCCCTAACCCACTTCTGCCCGGGCCGATGTGGGTGACTTTGACGATTGCAGGTCTGCAGATGTAGGTGGGGTGGTTCCTGGGGCGGCGGTGTCTACTACGACGGTGGTGGCGGAGGTTCATGTGCCTGCTGCTGCCGCCGGCGACAGTGTCTCCAAGTTAACCTCTGTTTTTTCTCCTGCAGGGAGTTTCCCACAGTGGGGGGTGGTCCCTCCTCCTGTGGTGGCTGGTGAGGATGATGGTGCGGGCCGGGGCCTTGTGATGGTCCTGCAGAAGGACGTCCGCCGTGGGAGGTCTGTGCCGGTGCCCAGAACTGGGATGTTGTTCCGGCGGAGGACCCTGTGGTGTTACCCCCCTGATGTGTCACCTCCCGTGGTGCTGCCTGCTGTGTAGCCGGTCCTCGTGTTACCGCCCCTGTCCAGGGGTGCGGTTGCTCAGTCGACGGGTGCTGTGCCTGGTGCTGGTCTTCGGCCTTTTCATAATGTGGCTGATGTTCTGACTGCTGACCGGTTGCTCGTATTGTGGGAGCGGGTGGCGCCACTTTCCCTGTGCCTGTCTACTATTTGGGTCCCCCGCGTGCATGCCTTCGTGTCCGAGGGTCCGGATGTAATGGCGCACCCTAGTGAGCGTTATCGTCGTGGTTATCTTGAGGTTATCTTGAGATAATTTCGGATCGTCCTGAGCGTGGTGAGCGTCCTGAGGTGCGGCTTCGCTGGGAGGCGTACTGTATAAGGTTTCCGGTAGCGGAGGGAGGGAGTTATCAAAGGAAAGCGCCAAGCCGTAACGACTATTTAGCTCTGGGAAGGGGTCAGGATAAGGATTTCGGATGGGACGGGGGGAAGGAAATTTGCCCAACCACTTGTGTTGGGTTGAAGAGGCATGTAAGGATTTGGGATTGGACGGAGGGGAAGGAATGGTGGCCAACCACTTGGACGGTCGGGGATTGAACGCCAATCTGCATGAAGCGAGACTGTCGCTCTACCTTCCACTCCAACTGGGTGGACTATTAAATTGGGGAAAGAGGACGCATTCGACTTAAATTTTTCTTAAAAAATTCTTCAAAATTGTCTTTAAATTCGACTTAAATTCTTAAAATGTATATTTAAATTAGAAACAAATTTGTATGACAGTAGATGAAAACATGATATCTTTCACTTCCGCTATAAAACATTATATCTACAGAAAAATCATCCGAGATATCCGAGATAACAAGAACTGACGCAATAAATGTCTCAATTAATTGTCCTTGAATCTTGTGTCTGATAACAGTGTGAGACTTAAGTGCTCCTTCAATGACAAAATAAAGATAACAATCTCTGTATTCAAGTGATTGTCACGGATATATTTGGTATTTTGGTTGTATAATATATTTAATATGTCAAGAAGTATATATTTAATATAAACAAGAGGTGGTAGAGCGAAAAACATAAATAAAGATATCACAGCAAAGATATCTCAACAATAATCACGATAATATAAAGATATCACAACAACACAACACTCTTCCCTTATATTAGAAAAACAATTTATTATTACCATGACGGTGGTACAGTCGGGTTTGTTGTCTACGCACAATCGAGAATTCAGGGTTCGAATCCCGGGCGGGACAGAAATGGTTGGGTGCATTTTCTTTCACCTAGTGCCTCTGTTCACCTAGCCTGATGTCAGAAAAACTCTGACGTCACACCCTATTACCCATAACAACCCTGATGTCACACTCTATTACCATGACAATCCTGATATCAAACCCTATTACCATGACAACCCTGATGTCACTCTCTATTACCATGACAACACTGATGTCACTCCCTATTACCATGACAATCCTGATGTCATTCCCTATTTCCACGACACCCCCAGATGACACCCTATACTCCCCCACTACACCCAAGATGACACCCTACTACCCACAAGATGTAACAAGAGAGTAGTACATGAACATCATAACAGCATGAACAAGCCACGTGGAGGATGAACAAAGCACGGGCGCCAGTCAGGCGGCAGCAGACAATGTAAAAGTTACACCTCTGTACAAGTTAGCCATAGAGTCAGGTCAACGGTCATCGAATCACGAAGAGGTCAGAGTTGATGCCGTCATGATAATCTTCAGGGATTAACCCCTAAACATCAAATGTAAAACCCTCAAGTTCAGCTGAGGAGCAGATCATGGGACAGACAGTAGAGTGGGCGCAGCCCAGTAGGGAGGTGTGTGTGTGTGGACTCGGGGAAGGAACATCATCTCCCGGAAAACTGTGGAACAACATACGAGTAAGTACGACTCTCTTGTACTAAAGCACCTCATTCAGTACCCTTGGCCTCTAGTAGGAAATATAGTTAGGGAGTGTCTTATTTAATTATTTCAAATAAAGTCATCTATTAAGTGTTATAAAATGTGTATTAATGGTTCCTTGTCTTAGTGATATTGGGCCTACCGTCCCCTTTGCCCCAGTGACCTAGTGTTCTTAATTATCCAGTACTCCTCCCCCCGTTCGTCTTCCGTGTTGAGGTGTGAGGGTTTTACATTTGATGTTTAGGGGTTAATCCCTGAAGATTATCATGACGGCATCAACTCTGACCTCTTCGTGATTCGATGACCGTTGACCTGACTCTATGGCTAACTTGTACAGAGGTGTAACTTTTACATTGTCTGCTGCCGCCTGACTGGCGCCCGTGGTTTGTTCATCCTCCACGTGGCTTGTTCATGCTGTTATGATGTTCATGTACTACTCTCTTGTTACAAAGACACCCTACTCCCAACACCCCCAGATGACACCCTATACTCCCCACAACACCCCAGATGACACCCTACTCCCAACATACCCCAGATGACACCCTACTCCCCCACTGCACCCCAGATGACACCCTATACTCTCCACAACACCCCAGATGACACCCTTCTCCCCCACGACACCCCAGATGACACCCTATACTCCCCACTACACCCAAGATGACACCCTACTCCCCACGACATCCCATATGACACCCTAGACTCCCCACAACACCTCAGATGACTCCCTATACTCCCCCCGACACCTCAGATGACACCCTAGACTCCCCACGACACCCCAGATGACACCCTAGACTCCCCCCGACACCCCAGATTCCCCACGACACCCCAGATGGCACCCTACTCCCAACACCCCAGATGACACCCTACTCCCCACGACACCCCAGATTCCCCATGACACCCCCAGATGACACCCTACTCCCAACACCCCAGATGACACCCTACTCCCCACAACACCCCAGATCACACCCTACTCCCCACAACACCCCAGATAACACCCTACTCCCCCGCGCCACCCCAGATGACACCCTACTCCCCACGACACCACAAAGACTGTGACTCACGAGGACTCGTCATAGGGAGCGCCACTCAGCAGGAGTCTAGGGAGGCCGTCGGCCGCCCGCGTCGCAGGGCTGCCCAGCCACTCCTCCGCCCCCAGCATGAAGACCTCAGACGGTGGCCACGTTGGGTCTTGTGTCGCCGCCACCACCACGCCGCTGACCAGCGCCACCGTGGCCGCCACCGTCCGCCACCTGTCCATCCTGCAGGAGTGCTGAGGACCCTGGTGAACGCCGCCACACACTGAGATACACCAATAACCCCACTGAAGACGGACCTCATCCGACTGGTCTATCACAGATAAACTTGTGTAACTGATAGTGAGCCGCAATATTAAGTTGAAGAGCCATGGTCATCACTGCAATAAAAATAAATAAAGCATTTTAAGGTCCTCCAACATCCAAGTTTTTTGTTCAATTACCAGATTGATCATCTTATCTGCTCGTGACTCATTTTATCAGCACTTGGATGGTTCTCAAGCAGTCATTTCCCAATCACTTGGGCTGGAAGGTAGAGCGACGGTCTCGCGTCATGCAAGTCGGCGTTCAATCCCCGACCGTTCAGGTGGTTGGGTACCATTCCTTCCCCTCCGTCCCATCCCAAGTCCTTATCCTGATCCCTTCCAAGTGCTATATAGTCATAATGGCTTAGCGATTTCCCCCCCTGAGAATTCCCTCCCCTTCCCCTTCAAGCGTTCAATAAGTGTCGTTATACAGTGATTCACTGACACTTTATGAGACAGATACTGGGAACGTCTCAAGAAAGGTTAAACGGGTCTCTCCATAAATTGTTCTCTCCATAAACGGGTCTCTCCACAAACTGTTCTATCCATAAACGGGTCTCTCCATAAACGGGTTACACTGTAAATTGCTCCTTCAGTATACTGGATCATCTGTAAATCGATTCCTTAGGAAAACTGGTTCTTTTGTAAACTAGATCCATGGTAAACTGGTCCCTTGGTAAACTGATCCCTTGGTAAACTGGTCCCTTGAAAAACTGGTCCCCTGGTAAACTGGTACCTTGGTAAACTGGTCCCTTTGTAAACTGGTCCCTTGGTAAACTGGTCCCCTGGTAAATTGGTCCCTTGGTAAACTGGTCCCCTGGTAAACTGGTCCCTTGGTAAACTGGTCTCTTGGTAAACTGGTTCCTTGGTAAACTGGTCCCTTAGTAAACTGGTTCCCTCTGTAAACTAGTTCATTGGTAAACTGTCCATCCGTAAACTGGTTGTCTGTAAGCTGGCCCTTTTGTAAACAAGTCGTGCAGTAAACTGTTTACACAATTAAATGGTCCATCAGTAAACTGGTCATACAGTAAACTGGTGCTTTAATAAACTGGTGAAGAGGTGAGGATTGGGTTAAGGAAGTAAGGAAGGGGATACAGTATTGGGTAAGGTGGTAATGAGGTAAGTTATAAAGAGTCACCTGCCTCGTGAGTGACAAAGGTCTAAGGTGAGCCACCCGCCTCGTGAGTGACACGGGTCTAAGGTGAGCCACCTGCCTCGTGAGTGACAAGGGTCTAAGGTGAGCCACCCGCCTCGTGAGTGACACGGGTCTAAGGTGAGCCACCCGCCTCGTGAGTGACAAAGGTCTAAGGTGAGCCACCCGCCTCGTGAGTGACACGGGTCTAAGGTGAGCCACCTGCCTCGTGAGTGACAAGGGTCTAAGGTGAGCCACCTGCCTCATGAGTGACACGGGTCTAAGGTGAGCCACCTGCCTCATGAGTGACATGGGTCTAAGGTGAGCCACCTGTCTCATGAGTGACACGGGTCTAAGGTGAGCCACCTGCCTCATGAGTGACACGGGTCTAAGGTGAGCCACCTGCCTCATAAGTGACACGGGTCTAAGGTGAGCCACCTGCCTCATGAGTGACACGGGTCTAAGGTGAGCCACCTGCCTCATGAGTGACACGGGTCTAAGGTGAGCCACCTGCCTCATGAGTGACACGGGTCTAAGATGAGCCACCTGCCTCATGAGTGACACGGGTCTAAGGTGAGCCACCTGCCTCGTGAGTGACACGGGTCTAAGGTCCACCTGCCTCATGAGTGAAACGGGTCTAAGGTGAGCCACCCGCCTCGTGAGTGACACTGGTCTAAGGTGAGCCACCTGCCTCGTGAGTGACAAGGGTCTAAGGTGAGCCACCTGCCTCGTGAGTGACACGGGTCTAAGGTGAGCCACCCGCCTCGTGAGTGACACGGGTCTAAGGTGAGCCACCTGCCTCGTGAGTGACAAGGGTCTAAGGTGAGCCACCTGCCTCGTGAGTGACACGGGTCTAAGGTGAGCCACCTGCCTCATGAGTGACACGGGTCTAAGGTGAGCCACCTGCCTCATGAGTGACATGGGTCTAAGGTGAGCCACCTGTCTCATGAGTGACACGGGTCTAAGGTGAGCCACCTGCCTCATGAGTGACACGGGTCTAAGGTGAGCCACCTGCCTCATGAGTGGCACGGGTCTAAGGTGAGCCACCTGCCTCATGAGTGACACGGGTCTAAGGTGAGCCACCTGCCTCATGAGTGACACGGGTCTAAGGTGAGCCACCTGCCTCATGAGTGACACGGGTCTAAGATGAGCCACCTGCCTCATGAGTGACACGGGTCTAAGGTGAGCCACCTGCCTCGTGAGTGACACGGGTCTAAGGTGAGCCACCTGCCTCGTGAGTGAAACGGGTCTAAGGTCCACCTGCCTCATGAGTGAAACGGGTCTAAGGTGAGCCACCTGCCTCATGAGTGACACGGGTCTAAGGTCCACCTGCCTCATGAGTGACACGGGTCTAAGGTGAGCTACCTGCCTCATGAGTGACACGGGTCTAAGGTGAGCCACCTGCCTCATGAGTGACACGGGTCTAAGGTGAGCCACCTGCCTCATGAGTGACACGGGTCTAAGGTGAGCCACCTGTCTCATGAGTGACACGGGTCTAAGGTGAGCCACCTGCCTCATGAGTGACACGGGTCTGAGGTGAGTCTCCTGCCTCATGAGTGACACGGGTCTAAGGTCCACCTGTCTCATGAGTGACACGGGTCTGAGGTGAGCCACCTGCCTCATGAGTGACACGGGTCTAAGGTCCACCTGCCTCATGAGTGACACGGGTCTAAGGTGAGCCACCTGCCTCATGAGTGACACGGGTCTAAGGTGAGCCACCTGCCTCATGAGTGACACGGGTCTAAGGTGAGCCACCTGTCTCATGAGTGACACGGGTGAGCCACCTGTCTCATGAGTGACACGGGTCTGAGGTGAGTCTCCTGCCTCATGAGTGACACGGGTCTAAGGTGAGCCACCTGTCTCATAGTGACACGGGTCTAAGGTGAGCCACCTGCCTCGTGAGTGACACGTGTCAGGACCTCACCTCTGGCACTGGTCCCCGGCGTCTCCTCCAGATAAGATCAAGTTGATGTGAGTGACGCGTCATACAGGCGTCACGTGGTGTTTACACCAAAGATGTTTATGTAAGGCGAGTCTTCCTTCCTATTCCTCGCGTTGTGTGTGTACGTATATATATATATATATATATATATATATATATATATATATATATATATATATATGTCGTAGCTAATATCCAGAACGCACTTCTCAGCCTACTATTCAAGGCCCGATTTGCCTAATAAGCCAAGTTTTCATGAATTAATGTTTTTTCGTCTACCTAACCTACCTAACCTAACCTAACCTAGCTTTTTTTGGCTACCTAACCTAACCTTACCTATAAATATAGGTTAGGTTAGGTTAGGTAGGTTTGGTTAGGTTCGGTCATATATCTACGTTAATTTTAACTCCAATAAAAAAAAATTGACCTCATACATAGAGAAAAGGGTTGCTTTATCATTTCATAAGAAAAAAATTATAGTAAATATATTAATTCAGGAAAACTTGGCTTATTAGGCAAATCGGGCCTTGAATAGTAGGCTGAGAAGTGAGTTCTGGCTACTAGGTACGACATATATATATATATATATATATATATATATATATATATATATATATATATATATATATATATATATATATATATATATATATATATATGTCGTACCTAGTAGCCAGAACTCACTTTTTGGCCTACTATTCAAGGCCCGATTTGCCTAATAAGCCAAGTTTTCCTGAATTAATATATTTTTTTTAATTTTTTTCTTATGAAATGATAAAGCTACCCATTTCATTATGTATGAGGTCAATTTTTTTTATTGGAGTTAAAATTAACGTACATATATGACCGAACCTAACCAACCCTACCTAACCTAACCTAACCTATCTTCATAGGTTAGGTTTGGTTAGGTAGCCGAAAAAGTTAGGTTAGGTTAGGTTAGGTAGGTTAGGTAGTCGAAAAACAAATAATTCATGAAAACTTGGCTTATTAGACAAATCGGGTCTTGCATAGTAGGCTGAGAAGTGCGTTCTGGCTACTAGGTACGACATATATATATATATATATATATATATATATATATATATATATATATATATATATATATATATATATATATATATATATATATATATATGTCGTACCTAGTAGCCAGAACGCACTTCTCAGCCTACTATGCAAGGCCCAATTTGCCTAATAAGCCAAGTTTTCATGAATTAATATATTTTCTCTAATTTTTTTCTTATGAAATGATAAAGCTACCCATTTCATTATGTATGAGGTCAATTTTTTTTATAGGAGTTAAAATTAACGTAGATATATGACCGAACCTAACCAACCCTACCTAACCTAACCTAACCTATCTTTATAGGTTAGGTTAGGTTAGGTAGCCGAAAAAGTTAGGTTAGGTTAGGTTAGGTAGGTTAGGTAGTCGAAAAAACATTAATTCATGAAAACTTGGCTTATTAGGCAAATCGGGCCTTGCATAGTAGGCTGAGAAGTGCGTTCTGGCTATTAGGTACGACATATATATATATATATATATATATATATATATATATATATATATATATATATATATATGTCGTACCTAGTAGCCAGAATGCACTTCTCGGCATACAATGCAAGGCCCAATTTGCCTAATAAGCCAAGTTTTCCTGAATTTATATATTTTCTCTAATTTTTTTCTTATGAAAAGATAAAGCTACCCATTTCATTATGTATAAGGTCAATTTTTGTTTATTGGAGTTAAAATTAACGTAGATATATGACCGAACCTATCCAACCCTACCTAACCTAACCTAACCTATCTTTATAGGTTAGGTTAGGTTAGGCAGCCGAAAAAGTTAGGTTAGGTTAGGTTAGGTAGGTTAGGTAGTCGAAAAACAATTAATTCATGAAAACTTGGCTTATTAGGCAAATCGGGCCTTGCATAGTAGGCTGAGAAGT